ATCGAGTATATCCATATATATAAGATTGTTTATACAACTATTGATCCTGTATCTAATCTCGCGATCATCTCGAAAGATTATCTGGACACGTAGTATCTACGTGAGATTAAACCGCCACGATTCGTAAAATCAATACCTGCTTAACCTAACCTATAAGGAAAGCCGCGGTAGGGTACCAAGAAGTAAAAGTAAAAGTATCCCTCGTATATAAGAAGACCATAAAGAAGAGGATGACGTACATGAAGATGAAGATGAAGTTTTGCACTATCTCAGACTCGTGCGCTGTAGGTAACTCGGTTAATGCCCACAAACACAAGAACCCATTTCAAGAGGTTAAGTGCCGCACTTATCTTATTAGGGCTGGCCTTAACAGTGCACTTCAAGCAGTGGGTTACGGCGATCGGCAAGAACTATATGCATATACGATCTACGCATGTATACCAATATCACAATTAATTTTTGAGACACCCTGTACATGAGCAACGAGATACCTCGAGGAACGGAGCAGCAGGAGCACAATATTTTTTTTACTCAATTTTCTTTTTACCCGTTCTCACTACTTTCCGTAGTAACGACCAGTGCCATATCAACGATGAAAAGCAATTTTTATGGAAAACGTGGTCCAGAGCAGCGCGTACCCAGCTACCATACAATTTCGAAGATCTACCGACCTGAATGTACCCGGTATGTAAATTCGTGCAAATCACTCCTGAAATAACACGTATTAGTCTTACATTGTAGCACCGAGTATATACGATGCATATGCATTGTATGCACTACAAACAGCATCTGTACCCGAGAGCCCTACAGCCGAGTATATTCAAGAGATTTTTTTTCACCTTCGCTTCTATACCTTATTCTCAGCTTCCAAAGCCCGGAATACGTACTACCTGCTACCAGATGCAACGTGCCTTCTGTATATCTAGAGGATCTTATTGGTCAGGTTGGTAAGCCCGGTTTCTCAGGGCAGGTGGTACTGTGCAGTATTATATAAAGAAGCTGAATAGACGTGGTACGGTAGCAGAAGTTCACTGGGATGGAGAAGTTGGTACGAAGTCTCGGAAGTTTACGTTACGTTAAATGATAACCATACGGAAAGGTTCGATAATGATAATAATATTGAGAGGAGAATGGGAATGCGAATAACAATAATAGACGCAAGAAAGTAGATTTTCTAACTCAAATAACGGCAATTGTTATACCTGCAAATCCTGCTCGACTTTTATCACCATAGCCGAGAGTTAAGCGTCGGACTGGAGATACGGTGGAACAGTGGTTGTCATCGAGCCGGATGTTGACCCGAAGGTCGCTCGGTTATCCTCTACCCCCTACCGGATCTAGCTCGAGTCCTTTGTCAAGTAGGATAAAACTTGGTCGACCCTTCTGGATCCCCTTAGACCCAAGGAACCCAGAGATCCTTCAATTGAGAAAGTTAACAAGTGGCTTGCCCTACTTGGAAAAATAAGCCTTGCCTCAGCGACGAACATATCTTTTTTCGTTTAAGCGCATGGAGTCACGTACTTCCGGTTTCAGCCGGTAGGATCATCCAAGTAAATGGGCAAGGGATCCAATATAACTTTCGCGTTATTTATAATCTATTTACATAAAAGTTATATCACGAGGGTCTGACAGGCTCGAAATACTAAAGACAAAGCTGCGAGACCAGGTTCAGCTAGGAAAAGCACCAGGTTGTTCCCGGGGAACTCGATATCAAGGATATAGAAGTCGTTCCTGTAACCAGCAGTCTTGGTATCCAGGGAGTGCAACGATCTACGCTCGGATAAATTCAACGTTACGCCATACGATCTTAGCGGGAGCGAGAGTACCTCCACCGCGTACAGAGACTGCTACTCCGCGAGGATGGTGGGCGTAAGGATCATTGTGATCCATGATCGTGAACCAGGATCATCCTTCACTTCCGATAGGATCACTCCAATCCTGCCTTCGGGCGGCATTATGCCTCCCCGTATACACGCGTATAACTACACGAGACTCATTCTACAGTGGAATATCTCCTATTACGAATGCCATTAAGTGTTCGTACAGTCACTTACGAAAACCTCATAGAGAAATTTTGACAGTAATACTGATCAAACTTCGAATACTCTTAGTCGTTAGCGAATCGATCGAGTGTATATAGATATATTACAGGTTGAAAAAATAACAGGCTAAACTTACGATCCTTTAGTTGCAGACAGACTGAGACAAATAAACGAGCAACGATAAGAACGCGTGACGTCATTATCAGGATCGACCGTCTGCACGAGTGCTTCTAGTTGGTAGGGATTGGAGTATCAGGATGTACGAACAGGATTGACTGTGCATATATTGACGGGAATCGACATGGTACAAGTATTGGAAGCATATTTTCACTTGGTCCCACCTCCCAATCCCCAACCCACCCAACTACTTATAGCAAACATATCGATCAATTTTTTTTTTTGTTTTCTTATTAATCATTGTACGGAAGCCTTGTCTGTCCTTTTTTTTTTTTTTTTTTTTTTTTTTTTTTTTTTTTTTTTTTTTTTTTTTTTTTTTTTTTTTTTTTT